CACAAGCGTTATTGGATGACATCATCACTGTAAAGTCACAGTTTTTAGTGTTGAAAACTATGCAGTCTATTTGTTCAGCTGTTTTATGGATGGGATCAACTTTTGCAAGTGCAACATATCTACTTATGGCTACAATTGGCATAAACTTGGGCTTTGAAATCTATGTGGGACAAATGAAGCATGTGAGTTACTGAATAAAATGATTTCTGGAAAATTCCAGCTAACAAACAATAAGGCTTAAAATCTGAAGGCTGCAAATAGTCATTATATAAACATATTTTTATTCCTTGTTTTGATGATTTCATCTATATGGAGTGAATTTTGTTCCATTATTGTTGCAAAGAAAGAACATATTTTGTGAATCAAAATTTTAAAACATGCAATCAAAAAATAAAACTTGAGAAAAACTTTATTAAAAACAAAGAATTTTGCTGTTTTCACAAAAATCAGTGTTGATAATTGTTACGAATTTATTTTTTCTAATTTGAATTTTCTTTTACATTTTTTGTTCACATTTTCTTAAAATTTTTTTAAAATAAATTATTCTTTTGAAATTGTATTGTACAAATCACAGTTTCTTCATGTCGAACCAAACCATTGCTTTAGATGCGCACTTTAATCAATAAAAAAGTTTTTGCTTACAGACCAATAGAAATCCATCTTCTAATCACTCAAGAGGAAATCCCGCCCCCAGAAGTGAAAACAGTATAATTTGTAAAACTCAATCTGAAAAAGAATACAATTCATAAAACTCAATATGAAAAACTGAATTTGAAGGAAAAAAAGAACAATATAAACTCTATGTTATGAAGTTACACAGAAGTTATGCCGAAACCTTTTTTAATGAAAATAAATGTTTTTCAAAGTTTCATTTCAAGACAGCATTTGTTTTTTCCACATTCAAATTTACAAAATGTTATTTTGTCTTATTGTTGCTACAATAATAGACCAAAATTCACTCCACAGATACTGAGCCCTGAATTTATATTTGGCAAACTTTCTCTGACTGTATGTTTGCTCAGCAAACAGATTTATAAAGCTAAGAAAGGTGGTGGTGGTGGTGGTGGTGGTGGTGGTGGGGGGGGGGAGGGGGGACTGCAATGCAGGAACCTAAGAATGAGGTGTTTGTGTTTGTTCACTTTTCTGGTATACTAACTCACCTTCTGAATACCAAAATACCTTATAAAGACCCAAATCTGGCCCTTTAATACAGCAGAGCCCATTTTGAGAATAGGGAATAGGCTTAAAGGTCTATTTAGTTTAGGTTCAGGCTAGAAATCTGCTGGTAATGCTTAAGCCTGTCAATAAAAAAAGCCTAATTCTGCATAGAAATAGAAACGTGAGAGTCTGTTTGTGTGTGAGGAAAGCAGATGATGAACAGCTTGAACCTGGGTAGGATCCAGAAGCATGGTGGGGGATCCATAGCTGGATGGAGAGAGATGGGGAGGAAGAGGAGGAGGAGGGGGAAGACATTGATTTCCTAACAGAGAGATCAACATTTTGTCAAAAAGAGAAGAAGAGCAACAGAACAAGACCTCCGAAATCCACACACACACACACACACACACATACACCGTTGTGTCACAATATCCTTGTGGGGACCTTCCATTGACTTCCATTCATTTCCCACTAATTTATATGGCCTAACCGTGACCCTTGCCCTAACCCTAACCATTACCGACACATACCTATCCCTAAACCTAACCTAAACTCAATTCACACCTTAGTCCTAAACCTAACCCCGACCCCAAGAAGAGAAACTTTCCTTAGGGGGACCAGTTGTTGGTCCCCACAAGCACCTATGAGTCCCCAAAATGTAGCATATTCCTAGGAAATTGTCCCCACCAGGTATTAAAGGCATGGCCACACATACACACACACACACACACACATAAAGTGAGAGTGAAAGGAGACTCCCACTGGGGCCTTCAGGTGAAATTCCTTCACTTTTCCATCATATTTCATTCTTCCATCACAAAGCACAAAAAACAAACAACTTTTTGGTTTAATTTTCTCTATAATGAGATTTATCAATAATAATTTTCTAAAATATGATAAAAAGAGTAATTAAAACATTACTACAGAGCAAATATTTAAGATGCAGTGTTGATGGACAGCAGTAGGAGTTTACAGAGACAGGAAACTGTTGTTTGGTCTCTCATCCAGCACACCCAGTGGCTCTAACAAACCCTCCCTCACCCCCGCCGGCAACATGGGTGGGGTTAGCGTAGCTTTGCTGCTAACGAGGTGTATGTGAGTGGAGGTGGAGAGACTGAGAAGGGGCAGCCAGGGGTCACACTGTAATTACACATCATGGTCCCTGTGGTCACTGCACTGACTTCTGACCACAGGGCTTCGACTTCCACTTCTGCACAGATATCAGGTGAAATGAGATGGTTGAGGAGTTTTTGCTTAGTATTTAGAAAAACTTTTATATATTTTCAATAGTTCTTCACATTTTAAACCATAGCAGACTCCCCATTTTGGGACCCAGTGGTCATTAGAAAAGGATTGCTATGAAAATATTACAGATGACAAATTTTACCATTATTTTAAAACAAATGCCAATATTATAGAAAGTTATTTTTGGTTGCAGATTTTTTGATCTCACGTGAAAAAGGTGCATGCATAGTCAAATAGTGCATAGTCACAACATTTGTTTGGTACTTAGGCACCAGTGGCTTAATATGGTTGCATATATTCTTATGAGAAACTACAGTATCCTGCTCGTGTAATATTTGTTATTTTATGTCTCTTTGCTTTTGCTTAATTTGTTGGTAAATAAAGTCTTTCTGTTTACATTTACCATAACAATATCATGTGATCGAATTACGTTGCTGCGCCTACATATAATTGGGTAACAAGATGAAACAATGGAGGTGAGCGTGTGCAGACCTCCCAGCATAGTTGTGAAAAAACTGAAAAGTGCAAGATCAAGTGTAAGAAGGTACAAGAAGATCTTTGATTCCAAGAGGGATAAAATGACTTGTGCTGAAAAATAGCCTGACCGTTGGAGTACATTAAAGCTCAGGAAGCATTCTGATGTGGCTGTGAAGTTGACAGACACACGAGTACATAGAATTAGACAAACCTCATCATTTTGTATACACAGATTATACCAAACACTAAATTTTGTTTGTTTAGCTTTTCCGACAGTGAATCAGCAGCAGATTAGCAGTGATAAAAAACCATTTCTATTCATAAAGTGCAGCAGTGATCAAATGTACACAGTGTGGGAGAGACATGGTGCAAAAAGGCATTGATGTGGAAGGTTCAGAGCAATGCAAAAATAAATGGTGCTACTGGCGTTAGCAATGCTTCTTAACCCTTTCCCCTGAGCTGTTAGTTTTCGCTGGGCTCAGTCAGCACTTTTTTAGTAGCTCTATCAATGACCCCTATCTGGCTTTCTGGTATTCAACGATACTTCAGCTAGATGGCGCCACACCTCTTCGTGTCAGCCCTTCGCACCCGGTGCTTGGGTTCTATTTAAGCTCAAAAAGGGCAATCAGGACAGACTCTTGGAGTATATTGCCTTATTTAATCACAACCAACTGCATTTTGGTCTTTTTGATAAAGATGTATAATGTTACCATGTACCTTCAGGCACATAAAAAACTTCCATTCATTTTCTGTCCTGCTTATCCCAAGCGAGGTCGCGAGGGGTGCTGGTGCCAATCTCCAGCTGTCTACAGGCAAGAGGCAGGGTACACCCTGGACAGGTCGCCAGTCCATCGCAGGACAACCATAAGACAAACAACCATTCTCAAACCTAAGGAGAATTTAGAGAAGCCCAGTAACCTAACAGTCCTGTTTTTGGACTGTGGGAGGAAGCCAGGGTACCCCTATGCATGCTCAGGGAGAACATGCAAACTACATGCAAAAAAGACCCTGGGCCAGCAATTGAACCCAGACCCTTCTTGCTACAAGGCAGCAGTGCTACCCACTGTGCCACTGGGCAGCATGGAACCTGGGTACGAACCAGGTTTGCTGCAAAAATACCACTACTCATGAAAAATAAAAATAGTACAATGGAAACTTTAAAAGCGTTCAGTTGCTTTAGAACAGAAAAAAAAAAGAAAAACTCAAAATGAAACTGCCATGGTAATGTTTTTGAAATATGCATGGTGAATGGGGGATCAAATCACAGAAGGACACTGATTGCTTAGATTCGTCTAACCTGTTTACTGGCCACAATAAAATTACCAAAAACAACTTAGAAACGCTTAAAAAAAGCACAAATTAAATCAGCTGCTGTTTGTTAGGAGGATCTATATGCCAGATAAAACTGTTGCAATGGTGGACAGTTGTCTTATTGTGGCAGTTTGACACTTAAATGGTAAAAGAATATTTAAGACTTAATAAATTAAAACAAATAGATAAAATATGTCCCAGATTTAACAATATGGCACCATTCTTTACAAAATTACAATAAAAAAACTAAGAAAATCCTAAAATCCACTCATAATTTTTCAATTGCATGCTCACCTCAGCAGAGGTGGATGCAGCACCTAAAATATTGCTTAAGAAACTTTTTACTCAAGTAAAAGTAGAAATGTAGTCATCAAAGAAATTACTTGAGTAAGAGTAAAAACATGCACAGTGAAAAAACAGCTCTCAAGTTCGGAGTAACATCTTAATGTCTTAAATCATGTAATGAGGCAGAAAGTTAGGTGCAAATTTAGAAAGTCACAGGAATAAAATAAATAAATGATTATAGAATAAGAAATTTGTGCAGAAGAAACATCTTTTCCACATTATTTTTTTAAGTAAATGTATGAAACCAAGTCTAACAGTACAGTAGGTAAAGCACATCTGTCAGGAAAAGATGAAGAACTTACTCAATTTACTCAAGTTACACATATTAGTGAAGTAACATAACTCCTGAAAGTACACTTGCCTCTGAAAGATACTCAAAAAAATGTAACTGAGTAAGTGTAATTAGTTACAACCCACATCTGCATCTCAGTTCGCTTGAGTTCAAGGTACTAAAGGAGGCTTACGCTTTTGTGGGAGATGGGTACCATACAGGATGAGTGTGATGCTATGCAGAGCTCTTTGAACCTTCTCTTCACTCTGCCTCGTGCAGTCCCACACCGTCCCGGTATGGTCAGACACCTAGAAATAAAAGGAAATGATGAGAAATAAACATTATAAGAAGCGGGTGGAACCGCATATAACCTTTCTGTTAGTTAGAATTCATGGTTTTAAATTTAGAAAAAATTTACAATTCTAGAAGGTACTAAGACTTCATTATGCAGGACCTTTTAATTAGTGCTTGTTCATGTGCCAGAAAAAGAAACGAAGCTATATTTGTTCAAACTCATGTGAAATAACTGATCGATATCCAGTCTAGGAACACAGACAGTCGCATGGTTATAAGAGAAAAACAAAACAAACAAAAAACAATCAGATTTAGGCTACTACTCACCCACAGTGTCAACCTAGCCTTTAACACTGTTGCATGGGCGGTTCTAGACAGGGGCCAATGGGAGCCGGGGCCCTCAAAGAACTGGTCCTGGCCCCTGTTATGGCCCCAGTCCAAAAGCCATATTGCAATTTTTTTTAATAAAAAATTAATTATGAATTATGAAATTATGATGTACTGAATCAGAGAGCACAAATGATAAATCCCTTGAACAGTAATATTTTATTAAAGGTAGAGTGGAGGATGTTCTTTTTCCGTGTGGATCATCAAAATAAGTGGTCCTTCTAATTTTCAATCTTTCTGGTGACATGTTCACATAAGGCCGTCCTACATGTTCGTCTCCACTTTCACTAAACAGTGGTGAGTCTGACATAGTGGAAAAATTAAAAAATCTTTTTTTGGAAAGTAAGCTTGTGTGAGCGATACAAACAGCAACTTTTAAACAGAGGGGGAATGAGAAGAAATGGGCTTGTGCACGCTCTCGTACGAGTTTAACAGGCGTTCCCTCTGGGGAGCGGGTACAGGGTTGGGCATGTGTATTTTTTTTTAAGTGGAGAGGGCGGGTTTTTTCAAAAATTCGCAGAGATCCTCCACAATACCTTCAATGATTTAAGAAATTTTAGCTTAAATCATATTAAAATAGGATCACAGTTTTAATGTGCTAGATCTGAGTTTCCAGAACTGAAAGTAGCTCTTTTGTTAGCGCAATGATGAACTTTTGTCTCATTCATTTGGACAGAATTCTGCCAAAGGCCACATACACATTACTCTTATGTGCAGTTCTATTTGAAAACAAAAATGTAGGCCACTCTCTATGTGCATTTTGATTTTATATGTGCAGATTCAACACCATAAGACCCCCAATTATTTACAACTATGAGTCCATGCTCCTTTTCTGTGTTCTCCTGCTTTTTATGCTCCTGCAGTTTCTCTCCTTTTCGCGTGTGAACCTGTTTCCTTGGGCTCATGTCAGCTTTTGTCATTTTAAATGAAAAGCCTGTGATTGGCTACATTTCAGGAAATCCTGCCTCTTGGAATGGTATGGTTTTCTTTCCAGCTGCAGCTCACATGTGCCAACTGTATATATAACAGCATTACTATTATTAATCTGCTTTGATTTCATTTTGATTTATTTGGAAAACATGGAATATATATGTTTATTTTTACTTGTGCTTACATATATATGTATATATATATTAATATATATAAAAAAGAATTCATACATGCATGCATCTATCTATCTATCTATCTATCTATCTATCTATCTATCTATCTATCTATCTATCTATCTATCTATCTATCTATCTATCTATCTATCTATCTATCTATCTATCTATCTATCTATCTATCTATCTATCTATCTATCTATCTATCTATCTATCTATCTATCTATCTATCTATCTATCTATCTATCTATCTATCTATCTATCTATCTATCTATCTATCTATCTATCTATCTATCTATCTATCTATCTATCTATCTATCTATCTATCTATCTATCTATCTATCTATCTATCTATCTATCTATCTATCTATCTATCTATCTATCTATCTATCTATCTATCTATCTATCTATCTATCTATCTATCTATGAGGTTTAGTGGTGACCATAGGGATATGATCCATATAGGCTCCAAGTTAGAAACAGATTTCCAGCATGCACTGTGTATTTGTGTGTATTCTGTGTTGAACTGTGGTGTTTTGTGTGTGAGAGGTCTGAGGCCAGGCTTGGCGCCCCCCAGCTGAGAGTTGCATTGATTTGTTGTTGGTAAACAAACAGCTGGATGTTACAGGTGGATCAATAGGGCCTGTATACCTCCCTGCCTCCCAGCATGCCTTTCTACGAAGCTGACATGGCTCTGTGAGAAGTCCTAACCCCACTGTCGCTGGGAAACACCATTAATCCCAAATTTCTAGTTGCACAGTTGTTTTTAATTGTGGAAACTGAAGTGGAAACTTGTGTGTAAGGGTCCCAAACCTCGGAGACCGTTATATCATAGGAGAGATAACAAAATAGCACCATTTACAAGATCATGTTAAAATGCTTATGAGTGTCTTTATGGTAAAATACCAGGAGCAACAATTTCCTTCTGAAAATGTAAAACTACATTTCAACCACACTAAAATGATGCAAGGGCTACCAGGAAAGGCAAACCGATTCTGGGATGGAGAAATAAACTGCACAAGAGGGAGACAAGGAAAATATGGGGATTAAGAGAAGCTCAAATCAAGGAGGGAGAAAGGAAAGCTTTCAAAGCCAGAGAGAAACTACAGAGAAAGAAAAGAGGAGGTGGTGGTGGTGGGGTGGGGGGGATTAGTGATGGGAGAGAGACGGCAGGATATTGTAATAGGTGAGAGGAAAGTGAGAGCATGTGATAGAGAGGAGTTTAGAAAGAGATCCTGAGAGTGAGTTAGGCAAACACCAGATAAAACAAAGATGAGAAAAGACAGGCAGGGAGAGTGGGAGTTGGAAAGACTGAAAGACATCAAAAGAACAAAAACAGAGAAAGAAAGAAGACAAAGAGAAGACTGCTGACAGAGACAGGCTCAGACCTTGAGACAAGACAGAAAAAGTAATTCATGATGGTTCTAATACAAAAGGAGAGACTGGATCCGTTCCAGGTCAGCATGCTCCATGGTTTTTATAGAAGGCCAAGGGGAAGATGCTCTTCCCCACCCTCGCTGTTCTGTTATTTAATACTACTGCTCCTCTGGGTAACATATTGTTCTGATACCTCTGCATCACCCTTAAAACCACAGGAAGCTCTCTCTGTCAGCTATGTTAAGTGCTGCTGCTCTGAGATTTACAATGATTTCTACAAATTTGCAAGGATTTTAATTAAACATCTCAGATGTGATTTAGCAAAAAATGTATCCTCTTAGAATTTAATGGACAGGGAAAATGTTAAAAGTCAACAATCAAGAGGCTGTTGGATCTTTGTGCTATAATTCATGCTGCAAAAAAGAAAAGAAATTTAGAAAACGTGGATTAATCCAACCTTCCCCTCATCTTCAGCTGAAATGTTTGTTATTAAGCTAACAACAATAATATATGACCAGAAATCTTTGATAACCATAAATTCACAGCTTCATATTTACAGTCAAAATGGGAAAAAAAAAACATTAAGGCTTTCTTGATATGCATCATTAACCGGAGCTTGTAAACAATCTTTAACTTTTTAAACGTAACCTTTTTATGATAAAAAAGTCACAAAAACAATATTTAAATAATGAAATTGAAGCTTTTAGATATTAGCTAGATCTTATAATGATACATACATCGTAGAGTATCAAGTTTAACCCTAAACTGTAATCAGTTGGTTGAAAAATAAAAGTCTAATCTACTTCTCATCTGTAAAATAAACTTGTCAGGTTCAAGGATATTTTGTTGTTAGTTGTCCATCATGTACGGGTATGTAAAAGTTCACATCTGCAGAAGAAATATTGAGAGATTTTTTTTATGTTTAAAGTTTGGTGTCCAGCAGGAAGCACCAACTTGTTACAGACAGCTCAGTCTTCCCTCATGCAATAAAGAGAAGCTTCAAAATACCCCCCTGCCCCAAAAAAAAAAGAACCTGTGAGTGTTGGCTGAGTTGTGAGACTGAGGCGGTGTCAGATGGGAGGGGAGGAGAACTCGTGCTGCGTCTACATATGTAAAGCAGCAGGGAAGTAGCAGCGTGTCAGACTGAGGCTCTGGCCCAACCTGGGCTCCTCGCTGTTCCCTCCAACACATCAATCATCCTAAACAGGGCCATCATAGCCACGTAGCATGCTGGGAGCCACGCGGGCACAGGCGTGCACACTCTGCAGCACGTCTAAACACAAACGGCTGAATTTTACACTCGCACGCACACATCTCTGTGCGGCTGCAGCCATCTTAACAGACACGCATAAATACTCGAATGAACCCTCTGCAGAAAGCATAGGGACAAACAAGCTCATAACAAGTTCTTTCAGTTAATGACACACAAACACACAAAGTGCAAAGTATTCACATACACAGACACACCGGGTCACACTCTTTGCCTCACAGCCTCAAAGCACACAGATACACAGAAATAGGCATCCTGTGCCCACAGGGTGCCCTCGCCCCCGACCATCTGTGACGGGTGCCAGCACACAGTGGGTGATATTTACATGGAGGCCCCCTCCGCCTCTCTTCTCCACTCGCGCACACACAGACACACACACATCCAAAATAATAGAAAGAAATACCCACAAAGGGCGGCTCAAAATCGCTTGATCTCCCAAAACTCATTAAACATGCAGATATATGCAAATGTATGCACCTCTAGAAATCCACCTTGGGCCACAGAGAATGGAAGACTGTTTGTGTGTGTTTGTGGTTGAAAGTAAGAGTTTGTTTGAATGAGCAAGTGATTCTGTTTCTATCTGCAAAACTTCCTCCTGGTTTGCAGTTTGCTGCTTTAGTGGAAAACAGGAGAGTCTTACAGTCTTACCAGGTCAGAATCAGTATCATACATTACATAGCAACATGTTATATATATATATATATATATATATATATATATATATATATATATATATATATATATATATATATATATATATATATATATATTAGTGCTGTCAATCGATTACATTTTTTTAATCGCGATTAATCGCATCAATGCCTGAGTTAACTCGCGATTAATCGCATTTTAATCGCACATTTTTTTTCTGATTGAA